ATTTACATTCTTTTTATCAACAAATCAATTGTGAAGAGCTAAGCTAGCCGTTAATTGATGCTGCTAACAAGTACTGTTTACATAGTCTAGCTTGATATAGCTTCATTTTTGTCCAAATTTAAAATACACCACTGAGCTACAATGTTGCACTGAGAGACACATTTATTATTTAAAAGACATTTATTTAAACAAAAAAAAAGTGGTGAGCTGAGCTAAGGGGCTGAAGGCCACCGACGGGTTGGGGAGGTCAGACTACTGAGAGAAATAGTTACATCGTTAAAATACTTGTTCAAGCAAATGTTCATGTTAATACAATGGACAAAGAAATACAAACAAGTATGACTGCTAGGATAAGACAACATCTTTCTACTGAATAAATATGCCTAAAAGGAGTCAGCCTGCCGTCAGTACACTGCACTTAGTGGCACCTGCAGGATTACATTTCATAGTACACCTAGTTCCTTGTTTTAACGAGAAACTTTTCTCATTATAACGAGATACTTTGCTCATTTTTACAAGATTCTTTCAACATTAAAATGTTTTCATGTTATTACGACATACTGTATTTGCTCACTTTAACGATGTACTGTAGGCCATGTGGTCATTATAACAACACACACACGTAATAATGCACGCCCTGCGCAGCCTGGAGTGGTTGCAGTGTGCATGTTGTCTTTGAGCAGCACCTCTGTAGCTCATTCAGTTCAGCTGTCTCTCATCAACACCCTCCCAGACCAACTTTCCACACGATGACCAGCAGCACTGGACTCGTGCTCTCCAGCTGATCTAACACTTAAATCCACACACAATAATTAGTCCACAAAAATCACATGAATGCAGCTCACAAGTAATAAATAAAAACACCCTGCATGTCACCATGATGTTACAAGCGTTACTGGCAGCAGGTGACATCAGTGTGTGGCTGTTGTCATACGGCGTCATATTAAATAGGTCCTTGGGCCATAAATGTGAACTCGTGTTTCTCTATCGTACAGTGCAGGTGCCACTGAGTACACTCAGGAAAACATCTCCCTGTTGTTTTTGTTTCTGCTTTGGAGGTGACTTCAGTTTTGAATAGTGTTCTTGTCCATCCAGCTGACTTCCAACGTGAACCCGGGGCTTCTGTCAGTCTGTGTCTCCAGTGACAGCAGTCATCGGCCTTTTCTTATCTGGGACTGGAAACAAAGAGTGTGTCACTGCTTGCCACAAAACTCAGATCACAACTCTGAAATAAGCTGATCCTTTAAATACTGTTAAGCTTGTTATAAGACAAGTCAACATAACACTCAGGCTACTTTCTGAACACATCTTCAAGTGATCGGTTTCATTAACTTTGAGTTGTAGTTTCCTTCAAACTATTCAATCAGATCATTAAAAAAAACATTAGGTTTATTAAAAGACCTCCCAGCATGCACATCTGGGCTGATGCTACACTACCCCTTCTACACTATGGACAGACGTCTTGAAGCACATAACACAGGAATCACAGGTTCTTTCTGGAATGGGAACTGGAGGTGTTCATCACTTGGGTATGATTTGTGCTGAGTAGATGAATATGGGAGCCAAGGTTAGCTCATCTGGTTTGATCCCATTGAAGAGCTCTACTGTAGCTCCCTCAGGTGGGTCTCACAACACAGTGCATCACAGCTTGCTGTGGTCTGGTCTGACAAATCACATTTCATTTTACATCATATGGGTGCATGTGCACTGTTTACCTGGGGAAGAGGTGGCACCAGAAGCACTGCGGGAAGAAGTCAAGCTGGTGAGGCAGTGTGATGCTCTGAGCCCAGATTTATCAAGCATCTCAGAGTAGGACATCACTCTTAACTGGCCAGAAATATCAAAATGATGCTTTTTGGTCCTACTTTTAAGAGTAGAAGTAAGAGCAACTCATCAAAATTCCTATCTCAGGAAATGTTTTACTTACAGTGGGTACGGAAAGTATTCAGACCCCCTTACATTTTTCACTCTTTGTTATATTGCAGCCATATGCTAAAATCATTTAAGTTCATTTTTTTCCTCATTAATGTACACACAGCACCCCATATTGACAGAAAAACACAGAATTTTTGACATTTTTGCAGATTTATTAAAAAAGAAAAACTGAAATATCACATGGTCATAAGTATTCAGACCCTTCGCTGTGACACTCATATATTTAACTTAGGTGCTGTCCATTTCTTCTGATCATCCCTGAGATGGTTCTACACCTTCATTTGAGTCCAGCTGTGTTTGATTATACTGATTGGACATGATTAGGAAAGCCACACACCTGTCTAAGACCCTACAGCTCACAGTGCATGTCAGAGCAAATGAAAATCATGAGGTCAAAGGTTACAAAAAATTTTCTGCTGCACTTAAGGTTCCTAAGAGCACAGTGGCCTCCATAATCCTTAAATGGAAGACGTTTGGGACGACCAGAACCCTTCCTAGAGCTGGCCGTCCGGCCAAACTGAGCTATCGGGAGAGAAAAGCCTTGGTGAGAGAGGTACAGAAGAACCCAAAGATGACTGTGGCTGAGCTCCAGAGATGCAGTCGGGAGATGGGAGAAAGTTGTAGAAAGTCAACCATCACTGCAGCCCCCC